CATCAAACATATCCTTATTCCCTTCAATTCCAATTTCCTTCTCCAAATATCCCCACTTCCCTCGAGTTCCAACAAAAATAAATAAATAAGTAAATAATAACAAACAACAATAATAATAATAATATATTAACATTTTAAATATAAAAAAAAATTCTTAATAAATTAACATGTAAAAAATTTAAATATCTAAATAATTTTATGAAAATTTTAATATTTAAAATGTTAAAATATTTTAATTCTTACCTTTTAATAAATAAAATCAATTTGGAGAATGGGTTCATGAAGACTATTATGTAACTACATATCCCTCGAGCCAAGATCCCTCGGTTTTTCTTCGACACATTCTCAGAAAGCTAATAAGTGCGCTGATCGTATGGCTGCCATGGGTCATGGTCTTTCTTTTGATCTTTCTGTCTTTGACTATTATTGCCCGCCTGGGGTTCTGGTTGGATTCTCTACCGCCTTTGTTACTTGTACTGCTTTTATTTTGAATCCATCTTCTTTCCTTCAAGTAAAGTGAAAAAAACTCACGAGTAAGTGGATGAATTGATAAAAATCTCTTATAATTTAATTAAAAATCTTGATTTTAAATTATGATAATGTAACTCTATTAAAATTCATGAGAAAAAGTTTTACCACCCATTGAGTCTGTCTGACTTGAACCGAATTAGTTGATAGTTTAATAAATTTTTGGATACAGAGTAGTTTGAAAAAAAAAAAAGAAAAAGTACATGTCCCTCATGGCCTGATGGGCTGAGATATAGGTTCTACTCCTTAACAACCCAAAGCTCACTGTTAGGAGTTTGCAATTGCAAACATTTCAGCCCATTTCGCCGCTTATGACATTCTTTTTTTGTTTCTTTTTTTCTTCGTCTTAGTAATTACAGCGAGCAAGAGGAGAAAATATCATTACTTCCATTTAATTTTACTTGTCTTAATTTTAAATAAAAATTTAATTAAATAAAATTACTCAATAAAAATTATATATATAAAATTTAATTGTCAATATTTATATATTATTAAATTTTTATTTGATATTTATGTTGAAAAAATTAAAGATCAAATTAAAGTTGAATAAACTGTGTACAATGTTTTAAATTTTAAATTTTTAAAAAATAATTACACTTAACTAATCAGAACTTGAGTGCAGTAAGCATTCTTCTTATAGAAATAAATGAAGTAGAAGACATGCTTGTTCAGCATTTTATGTGGCAGTTAGTTGTGAACTTGTGATAAAAGTTAGCTTTGACAAATTTGGTAACAAAATAAGTGCACTTCTTTATAGTAATCGAAGACATTCAAGTAGAAATCAAAAAATTTATATAAAATTATTTTATTTTTTATTATTATTATTTAAAAAAAAAATAGACATCTCAAATAATTAAAGATTGATTAGCAAGGTTAAAGTGATTCATTTTTTTGTACCCATGAAGATTTTATATATATAAAGTAGGTGTTGATGTTGAGGAATGGTCGGTCTTCTTTTTATTTTTTGGACTAATTTGACTTAATGGGTAGCAGACAAGGCAGAGAAACTTCGTTTATCACATCGTTCTCTGAAACACGTACTTCATGTTTGTGATTAAAGTACTGGCTTTTCAGTTGGCTGTCTCAGCATCTAGCAAGTGTAATCATCCATGATCCTTCCTCATTTCTGTCATTTTCTTTAAAATCTAAATTTTTTTTTAGTAATTAATAGCTCATGTAATAAAAGATTGAGATTAGTACTTACTAATAGTTATTTTTATTTATAATTTAATTTTTTTTCATTCAATTAGTTCAAACTGTTTAAAGTTTTTGATTTTAAATTTAGAGATAAGTGAAAATAATTTACATATATATAAAAAGAACATTCCTATTATATAATCATTATCAAACAGATACAAATAGAAAAAGTAATCAAATTCAAACATCTTTCAAATCATTGGAAAAATAAAAATAAAAATAAAAGAAGAAGGAAGAATTCAAACATCTTAAGCAAATAATACATATTTTAAATAACACTCCAAATATAACTCTTACACATATTATTTACATAAATTTAATTATTTATTTTTTATTATAAATATAGTAATAAATTATAATTATTTATAATAAAAAGAGAAATTATAAATATTTTATATAAATAATACGTGTGCTTGCGTCATGGATCTCACTTAATTCCGAATCCCAATTTTCAATTTCAACTTGAGGACCAAGCCGACAAGTCACTTCACTTCATACTCTTCAAATTGTGCCCGTTGCTGCCTTCATCCAGAGCGGTGTCAAGAAAACCGGTGGGGCTTGGTGGTGGCAGTAGCTCCAGCTTTTGTTGTTTAACTAGCAGTAAATGATCAGACAGTTTCCTCCTTAGGAGGTTATGACATTTCTTCAACATCTCCTGTTTAACGAACAAAATCAGTTGTCCTGTATACAGGTAACCTTTTGTTCCCCTGCATTACTAACACTAGTTATTGAAGGCCTTACCCTGTTTACCCTCTCAATGCACCCCAACTTCTGGTCCTCAACGCCGCAATCCGCTATTAATAACACCGCAGCTGCTGCGATTGTCGATGGACGATGATTCAAGAAATCAATGTCTGCAGCTCAAATAAACAAAATTAACGCCATCGTTCAAAGGTGCGAGTTCAATAATTGGAAATCCTGTTTCTACCGCTTGCAAAGCACAAGTAGCTAAAACAAGAATCTTTTAACTTTTGACTTCGAGGGGCAACAAAATTAACTCAACTACATGACTGAAAACAAGGAAAAAGAGTGCGTTGAGTTAAGCCTGAGAATTGTTCATTTACCTGTACATATGGTGGTAATAAGATCAGAGGCACGGGAGAAAAAATCAGTGAAGCTATGTTCTTGCGAATGGAGACATGAAATCTCTGTAATGAAATGATGTACGAAGTCAAAAGGTGTAATTGTGCGCAACTGCCACTTGAGAGTGGCCATGACCAAGAGCTCCATCTTCTGGACTGTTATGGGCTTGAATAAAAATTTGGATTCTTTAATTTGAAGGTCTAGGAGAAGTGGAACCTCTCTTTCCCCCATTTTAGCTGCCAGAGAAACGCATGCTACTGACAACAGCTGCATAGACCACTCTTTTCCTTGCTGCATTCAACATTACAAGATTAATGTCCGTCATGTTCCAAATAAAAAATAAAAAATAAATGTCAGTCAACGCCACCTTTGAGTACGCGTTAAGAGCCTGTTTAGTCTAACTTGAGTTTTCACTCAGTTCGAGGAAACGATCTCTAGCAGAAATGTTGAATAATGAATTCATTCAAAATTATCATAAAACGTTTCAACATCAAATTTAGAAACTTACAGGTAAACCACGAGCGTAGAGGAAACGATCCAAATAATTTACAGAAAGATAAGCCGTTTCAGGCCTTAACATGTGAAAATTCTGCACCTGAGAACTTACCGGACGTCATGATAAAGACCAAAGTAAAAGAATCATGAAGTCAATATTTAAATATGGATTTTATTAGATGTACTACTGTACCTTTAATATCCATTGAACTGCCTCCCGACGGGAAGTAACTACGTCGGGAAGAAGACGGAGTCGTTCAAGAAGCTTGGGCTCCGGAGTTTGATCAACCTCGGAGTCAAACATGGTAACTACGAAGTCATCATCGTAGTCGACGAAGGAATATGAGGAGGCGAGATCATCAAGATGTTTACAGCCACCGGAGGGGACAAACTCATCGGCCGCTTCGTGGCAGTAAAGGTCGGGAAGAGTGTAGCTTGAAAACGTAGACATTTTTATTTGTATGTGACTACATATGAGCCTGCTATATATACAACTTGAGAAGGCCAAAATTGGGAAAAAAAAATAAATTAGGGATTATATGTTTGAGTAAAATTAGTTAGCACTTACAGTTACAACTTTAGCTGAACGTACTGGTTTTGGTGGACCAAAACAGCATGGTTTGAACCTTGTAGTTGTTTCATTTTCACAATTTCCCAATACACACACCAAAAAAACAAAAAAAAAATTTTTAAAAAAATATAACTGTTCAAATGTATATAACTCACATCTAATTCCTAACAATTTTTGTTGTTAATAATTTAAGTCCTTTTATTCGATCGTTTGATTAAAGTTAACAATTAAATAGAGCCATAAGTAATAATAATATGATTAAAGTAAAAATAATACTTGTCTATCATAAAATAAAAAGTAAAAAAATTAATTTGAGACATTTTAAAAAAAAAAAACTTGTATTTTGAGATAGAATGAATATTTTTTAATAAAATATAAACCTTTTCTCTAATGTACAAAAAGATGTTACATTAGAGGTTTTTATATAGTTAAAAAGAAAAAATATATTGCAAATTTAAAAGCATTTTAACATAAAACAAACTTTTAACATGACATAAAAAATCTTTTAAGTTAATAAAATACAACATCTAACATGTCAATCGTTTCTATTTGGCCAAGAAAAGTGGCATGGTATCTCATTGCACTCAAGAAGAACTTTACATGTGTATGAAGCTTCGCTTGGGCGTGGCCCATGGGCCTTTCTGGAGGTAGGGATCAATTACTAGTCATGGTTTTCCACTTTTATTTTAGAGAAATGAACCACTGTTGTGTTTTCTTTAACAAGACATGCCAACTGGTGGAATTGTCATGAGGGAAAGATATAGGGGAGAAGAAAGAGAGTTTAAATTTTAATTGTCTAAATGAATAAATGCTTTTTTATTATTAGTTTAATTAATTATTTTACAAACATTTTTCATTATCTTTTTTTTTTCTTGATAAAAGAGATATGATCCATTTAATATAAATTATTAGTGGTTTAATTTCATTTTTTTTAATCTTGTATTATACAATAAAAAACAAGTTTTTCTTATTTTTTACCCATCTCATTCACATATTATACAATTCAAATTTAAAATATTTTATTTTCACTAAAAAACAAAAAAGTTATTTATCAAGTTTTTTAAGTCGTCAATGATTTAGCAACCTAAACTATTAGGATGATATTATTAAATATAGCATATCACCATCATCTCAATTGTTGAATTATGATTAATACTAATAATTTACGGAAGACATAACTAAGTGAATCTGACTCTTTATTTTATATTTATCAACACTTGTGGGCTTGTGGGCGGAGAGATTGAAGAGGATCAAAGAAGTATGTCAATTTTTTTTCTTTATACAGGAAACTCTAATTATTTGGTATCATAAAAATATAATTTTTTATTTTTTATTTTTAATTAAAAAATTTAAATTAATAAATACCAATTTATTAATGTTAATTATCTACGCAATGCTGCATGTTTTTTTATATATCACGAGG